AAATCACTCAAATAATCAAAACAACCCAGAAATTAAATCAACTAAGATTTGATATTTCTGCAAAACATGGGGCTACTTGTGCAAATGGTTTTCAGTGCTGTCAAATCTCTCCTTGTCCACTAACAGATAACAGATCTATCCATTACAACAGGGTTGTCAGAATACTTTGAAGTAGATGTCAGTAACCACCGGATATTTTATTAATACCATCTCCTCTAAATAACAGGCAAGCAAAGTAGCCGGCCAATATTACAAAGAAGGCAACTTCTTTTGACTACCCTGTTTAAAACCATGAGCATCTTGTGACTCGAATATTTTCTGTGCACAGGGAGTGTTTTCCATTACAAAAGGAAAGCAAACAGCATAAATACAGAGCAAGAATAAGAAAATAGCCACAAGATCCTATTGTAGACTAATGTTAGCCCGAGTTTACAAGGATGTCTTCTTTTTCCAGATACACAAAAAGTAAGTGTACATTTTATTGTCAACTCACTATTTGTAAGCATGAACAACAACAGGGGATAAGACTGCTGTTTCAGCCCCAGATTGAGATGCTCCTGCTGAACAAAACAAAAACAACATGTAAGATGATACAGACAACAATACAGACTACAACCTTGGTCAGAAGTTTTAGGACACTCATCACCTCCCCCTCCCCATCCCAGATATTACGTTGATTTTTCAGCACATAACCAAGACACAATGTCTCAACTTTCCACTGGGGGATAGGGGGCCAGGAAATGGTAACAATAGTTGCAACAGTTTCTCTCTGCAAAAGACTTTGTCATTACATAGTATTTTCTTAAATGTCCCAAGGTCTTTTGTCCGGCATTGTATTTGTGTGACTGCACTTATTCAACCAAAATGCTGCATGCTGAGATCTGAGAATGAATGAGTTACCAGTGATTGGATACCTGTGTTTGCGGAGAGGATTCTGGGATCGCCAGGGGGCAAACATTGCAAGTCGCAAGAAGGAATTGTAATGTGCAAAAGTTGTTTCTTTGTTAAAAACTTCGATTTTGAGAAGACAATAACGCTTTTTCGCCGTTATTTTATCAGAAATAGAGTTGAGCAATGTTGATACGTGGAAAGTGTAAGTTTCTGTTTGACTATTGTGATAAAATCTATCCATAAACTCTCTTGCTTGCGTAAGAGATTGTTTTCTTGCTATATTACCCGCTTGTACAAAATGATTCGAGCAGACCTTGGTACTCATGGTAACCTTGTGTAAAGGACAAGACATAAGAACAATACCTTTTCATTGATTTTGTGATTGTCATGCTTTGATCCTACTTACTAGCATAGTTACAATGTTTACCTGATTTTCTATTGGTTTTGTAATGAGATATTTCGGCGTCCCCACGCGGGTATAAAAGAGCGCGTTTAGCGTCCTTTGGTCAGGAAAAGTCAAGTAGAATTCGCGTCGTAACATCGTTTTTTGTGATTTTGTTTTAACCTTTGGTACAAGCGGGCCGATATGTAAGTGATTTCTTTTGTTATTTCTTTGTTTAGTTTCGTTCTTTAGTCTGTGGGCAAAAGTACATGAATGTTACTGTACAAGTATACAGATTTAAGCTTAATTGATTTATAATCGTTTCATGAGCGAAAAGCGGATTTGAACGCCTGTTAGAGCAACGACTACACTTTTGTTTATAGTACAAGGATTAAGATCAGATTTATGGAATTATTGTCTAATTTCAGTTTATGTAGCCTTTTATTAGATTTTACCGTCTTGTTATCGACCTAATAGTTATAGAATCGCTTTATTACCGTTTTCGAGCTTTAGTTTGTTGATTACGCGTTATTTGTCTTAGTATCGCCCTTTCGCCAAAATTGATAGAGATTTTTTTATTGTTATTTCAGTTTACTGTCAATCTTTGGTCTATAGATTTTGGTCTTTGGAATTTGGAATTAAATCACTGTTAACCGTCACCTTTGGTTTTCCGTGGTTTCCTTGTTTTGCCGACCCGTAAAATAGTCCCTAACCTAACCTGCTGCGACACACCCCTCGAACTTTCGTTTCTCGCTTGTTTGTTTGTTTGGGTCGTCGCCAGCCACACCTTGAATTTATCACGATTAATAGCTGTAGCCCATGACAATACATCTTGATTGTTCTTAGGTGAGAAGAATGATTTGCTTTTCTGGATACCTTCAGCCGTTGTCACAACCCCACAATCCTTTCCGCAAACACAGGTATCCGATTACTGGTAACTCATTCATTCTGTATTTACACAGGGGAGGAGGGGAGTAATTGGAGTACATGTATAAAATGTACATTGCAGTTGTACACTGTTATTGAAATAAATTTAACTGAATACACTTGTCACTGTAATGCTTCTGAGGGATATTTCATGAGCCAAGTTTACAAAGATTGATACACTATAAACCTACTGTAAATAGTGACTATAAAAGCTGAAGCTTTGTTAGCCTATGCTTAAGCTTGTATCATGTCCAAAAATAAAGCCGTCAAACTTCACTGTATTTTGTACCTGGTTTCTCTTTCTTGGGCTGTTTGGGTGCCGTGTACGTCAAGGATTCGTTTCCTCCTGAAAATAACATAACATAACATAACATAAAACTTTATTTAAACTCGAATTTTAGAGTAGCTAACAAGCTAATATCTTAGAGCTGACACTACATAAAAACTATATAGAAAATATATATATACATTAAATGCAAGGAAAGAAAATATCATTTACAATTCACAATTTTAAGTTTAAGTATGTAGAAAATGATGTTCTATCCTGGCCAAACAACGATGCTAGTTTCGAAGAACTATTCGAGAAAGACAAAACACTGTCACGCGAGCTTGGTTGACCGCCATTTTGTCGGGTGTCTCGAGACACCCAGGGGTCTGAGTTTTGTGGGGGTCTGAGTTTTCGAGACACCCAGGGGTCTGAGTTTTGTGGGGTCTGAGTTTTCGAGACACCCAGGGGTCTGAGTTTTGTGGGGTCTGAGTTTTCGAGACACCCAGGGGTCTGAGTTTTGTGGGGGTCTGAGTTTTCGAGACACCCAGGGGTCTGAGTTTTGTAGGGGTCTGAGGTCTGAGTTTTCGAGACACCCCCACTTTGTCGATCTGAACGCAAAGTGAAACAAAAACGAGAGATCAAAGAACATCTAACGCTTACCTTCTGCTCGCCGGTGACATGAAATCTCCCTCATCGTCATCAAGAGGCGATGAAAACATCCTAAAATACGTTAACTAACAAACAATCAAGATGGAAAGAGTAGATTTTCCGGAGCATGAAAGTTGGAGCAACTGAAACCTTCGTTTACTTCCTCTTTGAAGACTGGGTTCTAGCTTTGTGTGGGACACCGCTGGCCTACACGCACGAGCACGCGCGAGTGAAGGATCGCAAGCGAGCGTACATTGATGTTGTCGCAAGATAAAATTAGCCTGTTCCAGGCATTCAGTTTGTGGCGCGCGCGAAAGAAAAATCGGGCGAAAAAGGTCCTCCCGCGGACCCTAGCGCCGCGCGCCGCTTTTCGCTTCTCCCACAATCTAAACGCCTGGAACAGGCTAGATAAAATGAAACCAGGAGCCATAATCGTGGAGTATGGCTCCTGATGAAACGTGTAAAAACTTTTTTATCTTCAGATACGGACCAGGATATCCGGGCCAAGAAAAGTCAAAAGATCGAGAGGCGAGTAAAAAAACCTTTTTTACTCCTTTTCAGTTTCCCTTTCTCTCGCCACGCCATTTAGATTGCGCACATACATGGTACATCTCTTGTTTGTGCAGGCGCCTGGGTCTCCGAGCGCGAAACTCTCTATGATTGTTGTAATCTTGCTAAATCGCGGAGATACACGGTTTATGGGCACGCCCTTTTAATACCTGGGAGTCGTGTTGGCCACTCAGGCAAGGACCTTTCATTGTCTTACCTTGGAGTTCATTTGCGTTTTTTGTTCTCTTTGTCCTTTTAATCGTAGGGGGTCTGTAGTATTTAATTCCTTCCTCCACTGGGGATTGGCTTTCGTCCACAATGTTAAGAGTTGGTTGACTGCCTGCTATCTCAAATTCTGTGTGATTACTTGCTGGCTGGACAAGAACAACCACACATTTTTTGTAAGGAGTTAAGAACATTCATTGCTATCACATGCACACAAATGGCGGTTAAAGCTGTTTGGAAGCATGGCAAAAAAATCATTTATGTTTTCGCAAAAACGTTTCCTTGAGTTTGAGTATGCCATTAGGTGGGGAGAACTATGGAAAACAGTTCAAACAGCCAATAAACAGAGATTAGTTGCAATTAAATAGGATAGAAGAAAATCAGCCACAGAAACATCGGGGTGACGTGATCCACCATTACGACACGGCCATTAGTTTTTTCAGTCGGCCTCAGTCAGTCAGTCAGTCAGTCAGTCATTCAGTTCGTCTGCAGGTAGCTATCCAATCAGTCCGTCAGTCGGTATGTCCGTTAGTCCAATTTAGTTGCACAGTCGCACGGGAGTGAGACCTTTAGTGAGTCACTGAGTTAAATAGTTACACCTTAACTATTTAGTTGCTCAAAGCTCCCGTAGCAGGCGTTTCGTTACAAGACCACGAGAGACGCGTGAAATCTCTCCATCTCGATCCCAAGTGACAATTGGTCTTTTACGCGCGAGGAATCGTCCGCCTCGCAGGTTTGCATTGGCGTTCGGACACTCACTTGTGAGCCATTAGGCTTTTTTAGCCAGCTTTAATATGCTGGTTAATCTGTGCAACGCCTGACGAACATCTGACCTGCAATTCACTGGAGGCATTCACGTACACGAAACTGGAATTTTGCCAGCATGTAGCCCTTGTTTTTCCAGCTAAACAGCCCTTAGAAACAAAAACTTCTCTCGCTTGTATTTCGCAAACGAATCGCTCCAGAGACCTGCATAAAATTTCGCATGTAGATTTCACATTCAGCGATCTTTCAGATGTAAAAAAATTGTTACAATCTGATAAGGTCATTTTAGCCTCCGGTACAACCTTAGATAAATAGTAACAATATCAAAAAACAAGTGTAATAATTTTAACTTTGTCTGATGGCCGTATCTCCAAGAATCTCGAAGTCGTCATATGTTCCTTCGTGCAGCATAGTGTCTGCTGGTGCAACTGTGGCAGGGCCATGAGAATCATCAGCTTTAGGGATATGTAAAATCCAATCTGCCCACAGAGGGAGACAAGGCATTTTTAGTGATCAGTATAAGCAAATAAAACTACATAATGATACAGAGATTTAACCATAGGTTTGGATTCAAAATCGATCTAACATGTAACCTTAGGGCCGGCTAGCATGCCCCAAACTCGGCAGAGAGTCACGCCTTTCGGTATAGGCGTTCGTATGTCACCCGTAATACATGTCGAGTGGTCGTAAGTGATTGCTTTATCAAATAACAAACCATAGTTAGACTCTTTTCCAGCATTGGAAGACTGCACAGGCAGCCGAAAGCTCGGTTTTTAAAACAAGCGAGAGGAGACAAACGCCAAATATAAAGAGAGACTAGAGAAAGTCAAGAAATCTGAAAAATTAGACATTTGAAATAAGAATAACAGTATTCTTTACAGTAACATGTTTTTGGCTCACTTTAAGATATCTAAAAAACATAAAAAAAATCTACAAAGTTGGTTAGAGAAAGGAAAAATAACAATTGTTTTATATGTTGGAGCGTGGCCGAGCGGCCTCGAGGTTACACACTTTTCGCGTTTTTCTTTTCTTTTCGTTTCGGCTGGAAACGAGAGACTTACGAGCTCCTGACGTTTTTCAAATCAAAATAAGTAATAGTATGTGTGTATTTTCGCAATTCAGATATTCATAAAGAACGTTTGATGTAACTTAGCTTCTCAGACGAAATGCACCGGTAATAGCGCGCGAGACTGTCGCGCAGACGAAAGGCTTACTGTCACGCCGTGTCACGCAGTCCTTTTGATCACCGAATGCTCGTGATAATCAGCTCGTTTCAATCGACCAAGTAATCTTTACTGACTGGGATAGAAATAGTTTGAAGAAAACAAGAAGATGAAGTAGCTAGGGTCACTCTCCCAAAAGGGACTTTTTGCAGCGATCTAAATATCTCTAAAGATGTTGTGGAGGTAGTGCACAGTAACAATTTTTTTTCCATTTCGAGGCGACCCTTTCTATAGGTTTGAGGGGCTTCCTATGTAATTTTCCCGATATTAATTACCCATTATTTGGCTCTTAATAAGAGCGCCATTTCAGCTGAAATAGCACGATGTTGGACAACATATCACTAATTTAAAAAACACGTGAAATCGATTGAGCAATACGTCGAATTTTTTGTAATCGGCTAGAGTCCACTGTAATTATGTAAGAATCTTGCGTTACCTTCTCCTTCGGCAACAAAAACATCGTATGTATGTTCTTGGCCATGGCTTGTCGATTCTTTTTCGTGGCGGATATTTTCAGAATCTACAAATCTTATGACACCAGATTCCTCCGTGCTACTCTCTGCAGCCCCATGAACTTATCAGACGAAAACACGTAGTTTGTGGCGAATATTTCTCACAATCACATTTCATTTTCGCCACTACAATGTCTCTGAAATGTCAATTTGAAAATTCTCTCCACGTTCGGATAGAAGATTCTATGCGCTTATTTGCTTGATCGAAGTTTTACTAAACGTTACTTATCTTCCAACAATAATGATGACAACAAATGACAACAATATACCGGACTACAACGTGCGCATGCTAAACGTAAACAGCTGACTTGTTTGCATATCGGACGCATAAATGCGTGACAATATGACCGGATTGTGTGACGAGCTATCAAATAGTGCACGCCCCTGCATGTTCTTTTTCTTTTGCTTGATCATACTTTACGCTGTGTCTAGATACCCGGCAGCCGGGGAGTGTTTTCAAAAAACCTAGATACCTAGAAATCTCATAGAATTTTCACGAAATATCTCTTTTAATTCTTCTGAGAATTGTCTGTCTTTGTTTAGAAATGTCAACCGATTTTAAAACCGTGAACTCCAATTAGTAATTAAAGAATTGCTGACTGCCCGTGAGTCATACCACGAATTTAAAAAAGTGCGAAGAACAAAGCTCGGACAATTTGTCCTTTAAAAAACCAAAGGAAGAGAGGTAAAACCGCTTGGCATTTACGGCCATAGATCGAATACTCTAGGGAAGTTTCAATGATAGTTTTTGCGGATAAAAAAACAGATACAGGTCTAACTGCCGGGTATCTACTAGCCTGCGAGCAAGCTCTCGGGCTCGGGCGCGGGTGTTGGATCCCTGAGTCCGAGAGCTTGCTCGCAGGCTAGGTATCTACTAGTTTTTTGAAAAACCGTGCCCGGAGTCGAGACTTTATAGTATGTCCAAGCTCGAAAGATTTCTCAACTACAAAGCGGAAAATCGCTGGACATTTATAATTTCTAAACACAGATAGACCATTCTCAGAAGCATCAAAAGAGATATTTCATGAAAGTTCTATTTAAATTTCAGACTACCGGGCTTCTAGTTTTTTGAAAACACCGCCCGGCTGCCGGGTATCTAGGCACAGCATATACTTTATGCTCCTTTATGAGAGCCTGAAAACAGAATGATTTTCCTCAGGCAGGAACTCTGGTAAAAAAGAATAATGAACAAAGTAGGCGATGGCAGCCATGCTGGTGGTCGGAAACAATATAGCAATCGTTATCACGAAATTGAATTTGAGTAAAAAAAAAACGATTAAGAATAAATTGATTGAAACAAAGGCATTCTTTGGGGCGAAAAGACACGAACAATGGTGTGCGAACAGGCGTTATTTCAGCCGGTTCGCGTCGCTCCAGTCGCGCGAAAAAAGAAAACGCAAAAAAAAATTACGCCTGTTCTAAAGGCTAAAAAATGTAAGAAAGATTTGTACTTCTTCTCTGAAATGACAGGATCCGAAATGAGATGTTGGCCATGTCAGTCCAGGCTGTAATTTTAGCATCGATACTCTTTGCTTTCCAGCTGTAACTGAGTTGTATGAGTCTGGAGTAATTAGTTTCCGGTGTGGCGTCTGTTTTGTTTATGTAAATACTGGAACAGCACGAACATTGGTGGGCGGACAGGGTTTTTTTTTCTCTCTCCTAGCGCTCGCCTAAAACGCATAAAAAATAACGCCTGTTATGCAGGTTAGTCGTTCATGGGATTTAAGATAATACTGGTCTCGATATTGCTTTGTGCGTGCGTGGAGGTGTGGAGAAGAGCTTAACTTTACAACTCGTAGAAGGTTTCAGGTTTCAGGCTTTTAAATATTTTCTGCGCCCGGGAATACTACGCCAGCTCAAATCCAGCGGCGGATCCAGACTTGCCCCCAATGGGAGAGGGATGACGTGAGAATAAAAAGTGAAGGGTGGTTGGGTGGGGTGTGGGACCGGTAGCGAAAATGGTTCTCAATGAAAAAACTTCGGCCTTTCGCGCCTTATTCCTTTTGCAAAATAAAGGGGAGCCTGGGTCCCTCATTTAGGTCTGCTTCTGAAATCTTTGTTAGCGTCAACTTCAATTCTAACCTGTTTGGTCCTGAAAGAGAAACACTTGTGCATTTCTGTTCTGTTTTTAGATGCAAGAGCAAATTTGATCAGCCATTTTAAAGAGTAGAAGGCCTGAAGAAAACTTAACGGCACACCATATATGAGAAACAAGTTTTAATGTCTTATTTGTACCTATTTTTAACCGCAACAAGGTCCTTCGTCTTTTAAAGCTGAATAACAAAACAGCTACCTACTTCCTACCACTAATAATACTACTTACATCCTTGTACTTAAAGAACGAATTACTTTATCTATGGTCACAACTTTGACTTTCCTTTAAGAGAGGTTACAACACTTCCAAAAACAAACTGAAAACGTGTATTTTAATTAGTGAGGAAAGAAACGGATGCTTTTTACAGGGGCGTTTAGGCCCATTGCATTTAGATTGTTGTAGATACCGACACTTTCGCGCAATACTGCACTGCTGCCATTGTAGTTGACTTCGGTGAATACCTCCCAGTTTCCAGCGTGTTTACCTAGCTGGATACATCTGCAACCTTCAGGACAATCATTCGTCAGATCTGGACAGGAATCAGCTATTCTCTAATAATTACAAAAAGTGTGCGATTAATTTGTGTTTGTAATCATTAAACGTAATACAAACAACTTATAGCATAGACAAACTCTGTTTGAACGATCTCGTGAAATAGATTATTTCAATCCAAGGACTAAAGAGAACGGCTATATATTATAATAAAGCTTTTTTCAATTCAAGTTGAGCCTTCCGGCATTTCTCGGCAATTTGAAAAGGTAGTGAGATTTTATTTTACCTTCGCCGGTCCTTCTCCACGATTTTCGTTTGCCCACAATGTTACCTGTTCGTCCATGGGATCCATGATCTGCAAAAATAAGGGAAACATTACTTCTAGAAAGAGGTTAGTTATCTCCTGATTATCTACACCAAAACAACAGCCTTATCGATAAGACAAACACCCGGACAAGCAAGAAACAACACTACACTGCAGACACATATCTACAAATATTCTTCACCTAGTTGAGAAAACGCTTACCTTGAGATTCTAAAAAGCTGTTGAAAACTGCGGTGGGATCAGAGCTTCTTATCCTTCCTCAGCTGCACCTGAAGTAAAGAAATATCTTGCTGTAGCCTTTTTATTGCTTTAGGAACAATTTATCCACCCACGTAATTAATGTGGTCGTTTTTCTTACCAAAAATGGTCACAAAACTAAAGCAGTTTTTCAAGATAATGACCCTAATCGCCACGCCTATCACACGTCGACCTTGGTTGGTGCCTTTTACAATGAGATCAGATAAGAAAGATAACGCTTTCTTTGTATAAGCTCCGCCCAGACTTCAAGTAGATATATGTTTATTTTTGGATAAAGGAAAATTCTTTTTCCTTCTTTTAACAGTCGAAGGTGTGGCCAAATGAAGCAATCTTTTCTAACGTCAAAATAAACCACTTAATATGCTTTCGTCTCGAGCTATTAAGCAAGAAATCGATGCATTCCGGACTGGATATGGCAAACGTCAAGCACCTAATTTTGAAAAAAAACTGATAAAAAAAGAAACTGAACTAGTTATAAGTCGTTTTTTTTGTGGTAGGAATAATAATAACAATGTAAGAAAAAGACAGTCTACTAAATGAAACATAATTTGTCAGTTGTTCGTGTGAAGCAGAATCCGCAAGGAACAGAACAAGGTGGTGTGGTGACCACTGAAAATCAGAAGCACATTTTATGACATTCACTTAGAAAGTATTCAAAACAAGGGAAATTGAAGGAACTAAATATAAAAGTTTCAAATGAAAGCAGTGAAGAATCTTTTTCCTGTATACAAATCGTATTCCATTTAGACTTAGCCAGCTGCAACGAACAGAACAAGGGGGTGATGTGGTGAAGATGTTTTATAAAAGTTCAAGTCTTTAAGAACTACCTTTATTTAAGAAATGTGTCGGAATAAACGAAGATGACGCTCTTTATTCAAACCGGAACAGAACTCGAGAGCGAACGGTACTTCAACCCAGTTCGTAACAAATGCAGTTTGGCGTAGTCCTTGAAGGTAGATAAGAATATACGTAACAAATACATTTTGTGCAATTTAGCGTAGTAATAAGAGTATACGCAAGTGCAAAAATTACACTTTTAATTACTTTGGAAAACATGAATTCACTCAAAACACCGGATAATAATTAAATTAACAGAAAAGGCGAAATTGAAAGGGAAGTTAGCAACCAAAGAAGATAGCCGGCAATATCATCATATAAAGCACCACATTGTTAAGTTTTCCCTGATCGCTTTGCGTCCACTGATATACTTTGCTGTTTTGATTTCAATTTTGTCGTAATGTATCAGTTAAGAACTGGCGAGGAACACAAACCGGAATCTTTGTGAGGCCTATTATTCGTTGATTTCAACTTATATTTACATTAACCTCTTTGTAGTGTACTGACTTTAATTAGAGCAATACACGAGTAATTTACTCGGTTTTATTATTCCACATAACATTCTAGTGCAAATACGCATCAAACTGAACAAGTGCAAACGAAATACTGACACGTTTGAATTTTGAGAGTGCCACTCACCCTGCAATCCAGTTGAGTATGTAGCACAATTTATTTATACACAGTTTTTCATGTTTTTAGGTATTAAACATATATTGAAAACAGATAAAGAAACATGTTAAGAAAACTATATTAAGTAGCAAGCTAAGTGCTAGTAACATCTTATATGAAAACCTGCTTTAAAGGATGCAGTGTATATTTTAGACTCTAAGGATACCACAAAAGTCAAACGCGTTACGTACAATTAGTGAGGTTTTTTAATTGACAGAGAGGGAAAAAAGAGAAACCTGCTGGATAATAAACCCCAGAGAATGTGTTTAACAATAAACCACACTGAGGTACAATCACTGAGGTAGAATCTTTAAAACTCATGCAGAAGAATTTATCTTTGTGCATGCTATACACTACATACTTCCCTTTAGTCTC